GTCCGAAAGCCTTAAATGCAAACAAAAGACCAAACATTTAAGGCAAACCGAAGAGCAACCTGAAGAAGGGGCTCCAGAGCTCATAGATCAGGAGAAGGAGGTGGATCCTGAAGTGATGGAGGAAAGTGAACCGGAACCAAGATCTGGGGAACTGGAAATTATTCAAGAAGATGTGACTGAAAAGACTGAGAAGAAACTGGATGAGCAGGAAACCAAAGAACCAGCAACAGAAGAAGAGCAACTCCAGACACCAGAGGGAGTCATCGAGGTGGAAGACGGACCAAGAGCAGAGGCAGATGGTGAAAGGATCTCAGACGACTACTTCACAGTTAGTCCTTCCTCAACGAGCCTCGTGGTACCGGACCCACCAGATGCAGAGGAGCCCAGAGCTGAGCGGGTTTCCCTGTGGAGGCGATTCAAGAAGTTCATGACGCCTAAACACCTGCGCCAATACAAAGACAGACGAATCAGGAGATAAAAAGCACCATGTTTTAGCCTCTAAAGCATCATCTCTCTGTCTATCTGTCTCTCTCTCTCTCTCTCTATCCCTCTATCTGTATTATTGTTCAAATAATTAATGAAACTAATGTCTCTATCTCTATCCATCCCTCTATCCAAACCAGAACCAGCATCTGAAGAACTGGAAGTGATTAAAGCAGATTGGATGGAACAGACTAAGGAGTCCCGACCAGACACATCTGAACTAACGGAGGTCGCCCAGCAACCAAAAGCAGAGAAACCGGATGTGTACATTTCTGTGTACACCGACACGAACATTTGAAATAATTCAATAAATTACAACAACAAAAAAACACTATTCTCTAGACGGTTTCCTAAATTAAGAAATGTTGTTATTTTCTATTAAATGTCTGTGAATTTTAAATGTCTTCTGTACATTATTTACAAGGAGAAACTTATAATTTGAAAGCACTTTAAATTACGTTTCGCCCCTCTACAGTTAGTTTTTACTGGGTCGGGTTCGATTTCTGAATGCTTCCCCCAATCTAGATAATCACTTTTATAATGCAAATTTTAGAATTGAAAAGAAGGGAAATATAAATGAGTGAATGCAAAAATACTGTCAGTACATTTTATACTCATCCAGAATCAGCAAGAAAGATACTAATATCGGATATTTGAAAAGAAAAAAGTGAAGTTATTCAGGTACTTTCGAGATGTAAAATCAGCGTTTTAAAAATGAATAAACAGTTACAACCAATAAGCCTTTTAAAATGTTTTATAAACCCTAAACGTGGTTTCAATTATTTCAAACAAAGTTTAAGATATCTTTAAATAAATCTCATCATAAAGATTTACTGTAGCCTAAAGAGCACATTTAAACATAATCTGTAACAGTTGTGAGTATTTATCTGTGTTTTCACATTAACACTTTGTAAAATATTCAGAAATAGTTATGGTTCTATTAGGAATACAACAATCAGTCATTTACATAGATCATGTTATAGCATACTATGCTAAAGTGAGTAATTATAACCAAATTCTAACAAAGTTATACTCCGGCGTCGCGCAACGAAACCGTTTGGCCAAGCGGCCTCAAACTGGCCTCAAAGCGTAGCCGCGGATGTCTGCTTTCGACCGATGTGCCCAGAGTCCAGACTTTCCAATAGGATTTCAATGGGAAAATTCAGGGAAGTCGGACCAACTGCCAAATCGGACCTCATTTTGAAATTGCCATAAAAAACTAACCGGTGGGAGCAGCCGATTATAAAATACACTGGCTGAGCCCTGCAACCTCATGGTGCTCACGGTCCAAGAATTTTTGAGCTAGCTCTTATCGTTTTCGAACGGCGGGCAGGAGTCCACGGTCTACTTTTGATCCAAGCTCTCAGAACGTCAGTTGGCCGCTAAATGCTGAGTCACACCTGTGGAGTTCGGAATGTTCACAGTTGGGGCCAGACTGCTGTTGCCATGGCGATTTAGCTGGGCTCATGGACAGCTGTGGAGCTGATTGAAACATTGGTGTGGCACCAGGCTAGAGTGCTTTAATCAGAGCCTGGGCCTGTTTCTGGGGCCGGACCCAGGCATATCATACCTCGTTAGGTAGGTATTTTTCTCAGCTTTCAGCCAACGTGACCCCCAACCTGCTCAAACCAATTGCATTGGGTCAGCGGGCCCCAGAACTCAGCCAGGTCCCTCCAGCTCTATGTCTCTCCTTCAGGCCTTCTCATAGCCATTAAAAATAACAGCCCAAATATCAATTGGCCGACCTGCCAGGTCCCTTTTGAGGGCCCTAGCCCAAAAGATGGGGGAGCCATCCCTAAAAGAATTTCTTGAGAAATGTTTCTAGTCATTCATTGCCCCCCTTCATCCTTTCCTCTCTCCACATATTGTGTCTCATTCCTTTTCTTCATCCCTGACTATTTCTTCGTACATCTTCCCTCCCTTTTCCTTTCTTCCCTGTCTTTGCCTTTCTCTGTAATTGCCCTGACTCTCCTGGTGCCGTTATCTGCAATAGACAGTGTGCATTGTTTAATTATATGTATGTTAATCCATTTGAATTAGTTTGAACATCTTAAAGTCAGATAATGCGGGCTCTGTTTAGAAACAAACACAACGGAGGTTCGCCTCTGTGTGAGTGTTTGTGTGCATCTGTCTCATGTTTCTCTGTTTTACAAAGCGCTATCTGATCCACCGCTCATTTTCACATCAAGCGTCTCCTCCTGCACACCTCTGCATCAGGATAAAGGTCTGTAACACATAAAACATGTCATATGTTAAGTTTGTAAGATGCCGGGTCGGTATTGTGGGGATCTCTTTCCTTTCTGTTATGTTCATATTGTTGTTACTCAGCCAGCGTTTGTGGGTCTGATTGACCCGTTGCATTTTGTGGCTTTTAATGCTTCACAAGTCAAATACTTTTATGTTAAACTACTGAACAGATGGTTACCTTATCTTAACTTCTCTCTCTCATCCAAAATCAGTTCCAGGGCCCTCTAGGCAGAGTACCTTTTGGCCATCTTGATCGGTTCTGATCAGAAACCACACTGGCAAAGCTGTGCCAGTGTGGTCCCGCCCCCAATTTTTAGCAAATAGACAGAGGGTCAAATTTGCAATAAAATTAGAGCAGACAACCAATGTGTGGGAACGGTTTCTTTTGTGCTTCTGCACCTTCCGCTCCACACAAGGTTGCAACATTGTGAGTGAGTCCTTTCCATCGCCAACCTTGAGGTTTCTCCTGAGATTATGCCAGTGTTGTCTTGTCTTGTCGCCATGAGATAATATCTGTCATATGCAGCCATGCTTTAAGGACAAAATGTATGTAACACTCACAAAAAACTGTTGTGTGATGAAAGACTGAAAAATAAAAGTTAACTGTGGATGAAAAATGGTTTAACAATGGGGGATTCAAAATGTGAATGAAATGCTAAATCCATGATTAAATAAATGTCTAATAAATTATAAATGAGTTGTGTTGCATAAAAAATGATTAACTGGAAATAAATACATTTGGTATTTGTTTACCTTGATTTATTTTCTTGACTTATTTTTAAGCCCTGTATTGTTTTCCCAAATATTCTATAATGTCTAGATAATGTCTAGATTATTTCTTTATCTTCTTTCATATTATCGTTTTATTTTGATTTTTGATGCATGATATTTGTTTATTTGCTGCCAATTGTGGCAGCAAACCATCCCAATTAGCCCACATTTATCAAATTTTGGGATTATTTTCTATTTTGTCAAACAAAATGAATGTGTTACCAGGTTGACTGACGGAGGGAAAATCAATCGGAGCGCAGCATGGTGGAGTCTGTTCAGATTAAGCTTTGCTTCCTGTGGAGATGTGTGTTTACCATCCACATGAGTGTTAGGTTCAGGATGTGATCACCTGATGCCCGGGGATCAACATTTAATGAACTCCTGGGGAGGCACGAGTCAGGCAGAGTCTTGTGGTCCTTGAACACCTGATACCTTGGTGTTTTTCACACAGTGAGGACACGTTACACAGCACAACACATATTTAATTCCTAATCCCTCACAGTAACCGTTCCAGGGGGTGTGATTTCCCTTATTGTTCGGCAGGTAAATACATGTGGGCTTCTTGTGAGATGTGCGGTTCATGTGGTCTGAAAACGATTATCGAAATGAATCTGTGGCATTAAATGTATGTAACAATGTTTAAAAAAAATTTCATTTGTACATTCAGATCTATATTTTTAAAGATTGCATTTTTCAGTTTTATCATTTCTGTTCTATATTTTTATTTCTACATTTTATTTCCTTCCTTGCTTCTCATAGAAGTGTTGTGCACCAAACACCAAGGCAAATTCCTTGTAAGTCCAAAAACCTACTTGGCAATAAACCTTATTCTGATTCTGATTCTGATTCGGAAAAAGTACTGATGTTGAGATTATTGAGACTAAAATTATTTAAAAAAAAAAAAAGAATCAGTCTTTTTTCACTTTTTTTTTATTTGAGCTGTTTGACTGTTTTGTGCCGAGAAATCAAAGATTCGAGCTCAGCATTAAACTTTATTGGCTATATTTAGGAGAATCGAGGTTAAATGTAAAGCTGAGCCAAAACTCGAGTATTTCTTCTGTCTGCTGTTGGGAATTCCCGGTGGACGGGGCTTCAGGAGGTCGGAAAGATGAGGAAGCCGGTGAGGGTGTGGCTGGTGCTGGCCAGGTTGGTCACGAAGTTGTTGAACTTGGTGATCTGCAGGGAGACCGTGTCGTCGGGCTCCAGCTCCAGGACGGCCGAGCCGGACGTGACCAGGAAGCCCTCGGACGTGTCGCACTGCGTCGTGTGAACGGCGTCGTTCTTCATCAGGTTCAGACACACCTGAACACCACAAAAAAACATTTAAACCGACCGTTAAACGAGTCGTCCTCCGGGGCGTCTGAGGCAGGAGGGACAAATCGGAGGCACCAACTGGGGACCAAACACTCACTTTGCTCCTTGCTGAGATGTGGTAACTGAAGAAATAGATGCCTTTGGTTTCACATTTGAACATCCCATCTTCCAGAGTCACCTTCTCACCCGGATGGACCACGTCTGGCAAAATCTCTCTATGTGAGAGGAACACAAGCACATCGGTCATCAGCCGTCATCCAGATTCTTTCTTCTGCATCCACCATCTAATCCTTTGAAACAAAGAAAGCTCAGGCTCCTCAACGTGAGTTTAGCTGGTAAAATGAGACTAAAAATGGATTTTCACATAGCACACACCCGTATTCGAGTCAGAAGGTAAGATAGAAAACACTTCTTAAAACTGTGATTCTTAAAACTGATCGAAACAACAAATAAACAAACAAACAAAGAGCTTTTTAAATTGCTGGGACAGTTTAAATAAAGCAAGTTAGAGCAGCATTTTGTGCCTAACTGGGTCAGTGGCATCATTGGGAATAAAAAGAGCACCTTACAGAGGCAGAGGCTTGAAAAAGCAAAACGTCTCACACCGAGAGGCTTCCTGTCCAGTCTCAGACCCAATGGCTGAACTCACCCGCTGAAGTTCATGGCGGTATCCAGCTCTGGAGCCGTCGGAGAGATCCATTTGTAGGAGAAGATGGGTTTGTTCTGACTGATGAGGTTGAAGGGCCTTCCTTTCTCTCCTTTCGGGCCCGGATTGCCGGCGGGCCCCGGCAGGCCCACATCCCCCTTCAAACCCGACCGTCCCGGGGGGCCAGGCCAACCCGTCACCCCTTTCTGGCCTTTGATGGGTGTACCTGCATCACCTGTTCTTAGAAAATAACCAACAATCACATTCAATAAAAAAATCCTTTGAAAAAATCATTGAATACTGTCCAATGACCATCCAAGTTAACCCTTTAAAACCTGATCCAAGAAAAATGTTAACAAACTAAATTTTAAGTATCAAACCTTTATTTAAACCTCAATAAAAAATATTTCAAAATGAACAAAGATTCTTTTTGTATTACTACCGTTTATCACTGTGTGAAAAATCAAGTCTTCAACCCAGTGGTATCAGGTTTATCAAACTGTATGTGTCAAATGCATAAACGATTAAACATTTAACAGTAGTATTCCATTAAAAGAGAAGTGCAAACTGCACTCTCATTGCCTTAAAAATGATCTTTAATCAGCCCTAACACCTCCAAGTGGTGAGTGCTTGTTTAATGATCAATAGGAACAAGTTATATTAATTTTTTCCAATAGTGCCTTCCACTAGTATTTAAAAAAAGATCCTTTTTAATGCATAACCATCAGATGGCTCAAACCTGAGCCTCCTTGCTACAATATATGGATTCAGAAGGTCTGGGATATATACCAAATCGATTATATAACATACTCCCTGAGACTACAAACACCCATCTTCAATAAACGTTGGAGACCTATCGTTCCACTAATTATGCAATAAGGTTTTTTTTTGTTTTGTTTTTTCTCACACTCTTGAAATCACCCTGTGTTTGTGTTTTGTTTTTTTATGTTTAAAAATGTAAAAATACACATGTACATTCGGACCACATTGTATTATTTCTGAAAAAATAATAAACATTTTGTTAAAAAAAAAAAAAAAAGATCCTTTTTAAGATGGTGAGAAATTGTGCAAAATGAAGAAAGAACATATGGAACCAGCTCTGAGGCCGGTTCCGGCTCACCCGGATCCCCCTTCTCCCCCTTTAGCCCGTCCTTGCCGTTGGGCCCATGGGTGCCGGGTATCCCGGGAATGCCGGGAATCCCAGATCCGCACTGTGCGTGGATCCGGAGGGCGTGAACGGAGAGCAGCAGCCCCGCGGTGCAGAAGAAGAGCCACCCGGGAGCCTGGACACACACACACACACATATACGTGTTTTCATTATATACAAGGACATATAACGGAAATAGGACAAATGGGGACATGCCTTTCCAAAGGCTCTACAGGCCTGGGAATCCCAGAGTTCCCTATCCATGCATTCAGGAGAGCATTCATGTCACGTCTGGGGGAATGTCTGGTGTCTCTTCATGTCTTGATTACCTATTGTGTACACCTGGGGTTCCCCTCCCTCATGTGTTTAAATAGTCCTCGTTTCCCATGTCCTCCGCGACTGAGTCCTCCCTCCAAGATCCACCCTCCTGACAATTCATCTATTTAGATTTTAGCTAGAGCAAACTTTTGATCACATCTGATTTTTATGCGACATACAGTATAGGGACGTTATCTGGTTTATATAACTTATGAGGACTATAACCTTTCACACTGTTATTTCATGTCTAAGTGAATTGTCTCTTTCATTTACTTTAGGTCATGGTTATTCTATCTAATTCCTATTTTATCCATTTTGCCCTGTAATGTTTAAGAACACGATTGAAATGGGAAGAAAAGTACTAAATCTATTCACCTTTACAGAAGTCTGCCCTTAAATCTTTAAATCTTTTATCCCTTGTATGTTATACGACACAAACAAATTTCCACATGAACTCACACCTGACATAAACCATAAAGTGTGAATTTGAGCACTTAGATTGAAGCATTTAAGCCACGTATAGATCCATTGCTGCTATACTAAAGGTATTTTAGACTGAATTAAGCAAAAATATAGACAAGAGAAGCTGGAACAGAACGTTTAAATATCTTTTCCTCAGCCCTCAGACATTACGTATCTGCTTTTTCGTAAGTAAATAAAAGAATCTCACCATTTGCAGGAACAGTGGTCTGTCGTTGGTTGAGCAGATATGGTTTGATGGAGGGCGATCCTGCAGAGTGAAGCTCAGTCGGGTGGAAAACAGGAAGTGAAACTCCAGGGAGCGAACGGACCCCAAAAGTCTGCTGTAAATGTGGGAGAAGCTCCACACGCTGAGTCACAATAGTTCCTTAAACTCTGGTGAACAGGCCAATTGGATAAATCTCTGTGAATTATAGTATAAATCTGGATGTCTTAATGTTTATTCACTGTTTAAGTTGAATCAATGGAAAATCTGGACCCTCTGACCCTCTAATATCCTGCTAAACTTTACCCTCCTTTAATATTTTGGCCAATATGTCTCCTCATTCTGGTGATAAACAATAGCAGCCTGCATTTTTTTCATCACAATTAATTAATTAGATTTTATGTTTGATCTACATCACTTGCGTGTTCTTCTTATTCCCTTATGAGACTATTTTTGCGAGTTTGCATTTTGACATGAGGTCAAAAGTTCCACCTGATGAAGAATCGATGATGAGGCAAAACCGAATTCATCTGATTATAAAAAATAACTGTCCTCAAATTAACATTTTGTTCTGTTTTTCTCCAAACTTCCTCTTTGTTTCCCCGAAACAGTGTCAGCTGGAGATCTTAACCTCAGTCTGGATGGCAGTATCTGTTCCACAAAATGTTTAATTTCCTCTGCAGGATCGTGGTGATATGATTTATTAATAATCACATCCTGTAAAATGTGCTGATTGGCAATTATTTCTTTCTCAGATCCTCTTTCCATCTTTGCAAAAAGATGCTTCGTTTGGCTTTAAGATAACACACTGTTCTTCCACCTGTTAGCCTGGATTACATTTAGCTTTTTACGGCATTTCGGGATGATTTTGAATCAATTTTAAGAATTAAAGTAAAAGGTATTCAATTACAGAACATTTACATCCATCCATCCATTATTGTAACCGATTATTCCCTAATGGGGTCACGGGGGGACTGGAGCCTATCCCAGTGGTCAATGGGGAGATGCGGGGTCACCCTGGTCTATCACAGGGTCACACAGAGACACACAAGGACCAACAACCACAGACACGCACACTAAGGGCAGTTTGGAGTCCAACCAACCTAACATGCAGGTTTCTGGACGGTGGGAGGAAGCCGGAGAACCCGGAGAGAACCCACAGACACAGGAGAACATGCAGACTCCACCCAGAAAGGTCCTGGTTCCCCTGGGGACTCCAACCCCCCGTTTAATACCCCAAAACACTTTAATTTCCTTGTGTGTTTCATCATTGAGAGTTATCAGTAACACAAACGGTGTGATGAACCATCACATGGACCCACAACAGGCCCTGAATCACAGGTCAGGATTCTTTTAAGCTCACATAAATTAATGTCTAAACCAGCTGCTGCTGTTATTTGGAGTTCATATTTTCTATGAAAACATCTGTTCTGCAGTAATCCTGCATTTAAACGATTTTGGTACTATTTCTTCTTTATATTTTCTATGTCCCCACACAATTTAATCAGAGCAGAATGTCAACAAACAGCAAAGTTTAATAAACTTTAATAAATGTGATGTGTGTGTAATAATGAGCTCATCTTTATGAGTGAACCATTCTGCAAAAGCCTCTTTAGATTGTGATTAACATACAATTTCTAAGTGATCTTGATATAACATGTCCGCCATTAAAACAGAGACACACGTGCATATTGAGCCCATCAGATCCTCATGATGAGCCAGAGGGGAAAATATGGCACAAATCACCAACACATACATTAACGTTTCAGCTCTTTATTTGAGTTAATTGGAGCAAATACAGTAAACAGGACAGAAATGGATATTTGAACAGAAATAACAAGATAACTGCAGCGTTTAGCAGTAGCTGTGCTTCAGTGATGCACAGATACAACTAACTAAAACTAAGTTATCTGTGGCAGTACACACACCAATTAATTTACACAACCAGCCAAACTGATCTTTGTTACTTTTTTCTCAAGATAATTCAACCACTTTTTAGTAAATTGACTGACTTTGAGGAGCTAATTCTTAATAGAATTGACAGTTTCAGATTTTTCTCTGATTAGCTATTTTTAGTTTGATTTAAAACGTAGGATGTACTACTTGTTGAAAAAATGAGAAAATCTTAATGCGAATCGGTGGGTAAGTGTCCAGGTTTTGAACCTTTTGACAGGCAGAAGACTGAGCATTAAAGGAGGAAAGAGAAGACCCTGGGCGGTCTTTGGTTAGTGAGGATGCAGCAGGAAGCCTGAAAAGACGCTGTAACCCTCCTGTGATCCTCTCATTCCTCTGTAATCTTTGGTCTCCAGCCAAACCTCCTGACCAACGGACAGGGAGACGGCCAGGCTGCCCGAGGTCACCTGGAAAAGAGTAATTTTTTTGGTTTACACAACATCTTTTAACTTTTTTAAAGAATAACTAAGTTCATCTCTATTTCTGAATTTGTTTCGTAAATAACCAGATGTCTGGCCTATTTAGGTTGTTTATCTAAAACACAGATAAAATATTTTAATCATTGGGACACTGAACTATAGAATTGAAAATATAACCTCTTCTTGTGTCTTATATGTTTAAAAAATGTTGATAATTTCAGGCTTTTGTTTCCCCCATCCAGGACTTTTTTAACACTTGCTATCATTTATATGGCCACTTCTAATGTTCTTCTTCTCTCTTTGCTTTGCTTTTAGTGAATTATTGGTCTATCTGATTTGAAATGTACTACACTCGATTTTTACTGAATTCATACAACCTTATCTAAGTTCTGTAAAACAGCTGTGCATCCCATAGTATTTTCTTCTGGACAGAACATAACAACACAAAAATGCCAGCGCAAACCGTTGGACTCCAAATACAGTAGAACCTCTACATAAGAATTGAATTTGTTCCAGGACCTAATTTGTAGGTTAAAATATTTGTATGTTGGTTCAAATATTCCCATCAGAATACACTGTAATTCCTATAATTCGTTCCACAGCCCCAAAAACCCGCGATAACTCCTAATTAAATAACCCTAGCAATAAAACAAATGCATTATATAAGAGAGATGTAAAAATAAATAAATTATAAAGAAATAATCAATAAATATTGGCACTTTAGCTCATAGACTGGTGAACGGAGGTAGAGTTGGAGACTGAGATACAGGATGAACCCTAACTTACTCTAACTTTCACTTTGTGAACTTTAAACTAACTTAGCTTATCTATTTTTATTTGATTTTCATATTTTATATATTTTTCAGACTTTTCTGAAATTGACTTTGGGTGTCGAGTCAAATATTTGATCAGATTTCACTTTGGATGTGGGAAAATTCGTATGTTTAGCCATCGTAAGTAGAGTTTCTGCTGTGGTATGAAGGACGGCTGGGCAGAATCCGGCCTCTGTACCTGTTTCCTGTGACGGCGATGATCGCAGAAGGGTGTCAGCAGTTTGCCGTCCAGTTTCAGCAGCACGCACAATTTGTCGTCCAACGTGGCGTGGAACGCAAAGTAGTACTTCCCGGGAACCCGGCACCTATAAGAAAAACCGTTAAGGCTTTATGACACGCGTCCACCTGCAGAGGATCCATCAATTTGACTAAAGTGGCTCATGGTTCTGGGAAAAGGTGCAAAAATGTTATTGGAAAACCTTTGAAATTTTAGTTGCAGATGTAAAAGGAAGATTTGGGGGGAAAAACACACCAAATTGCACTTTTTAAGGGTCAAAGATTCATCTCTGGGTCCCTCACAGGTCCTGCTGTTTTACCTCTGCTGTTTGTACATTTACAAACCTTTTAGGTTCTCTAAAGGTGCAAATATGTGCTTTGGGGTCCAGTTTTTAGCCATTTAGGGCACATTGGTCAGGAAAGTTCCTCAGGAGACACAACTTTACACCTATTTTTGACAGTGAACGATGGGGAATCACTTCCTGTTCCCCGTTTTTCTGCATGCCCAGCAAACCGGAGCCTCTTTAGCCTAATTTATTGATGGTTTTCTTATGAATGTTCAGTCCCAATCCCTTCAAGTCCCTTAGCTAAATAACTCGGATAATCACCCACACAGTTGATATCCAATAGGAGGCTTTCATCCGGCCTGTGTTATCAAACAATCCTCACGACTTTATGCCTTTTTTAAGCTAATTATGTGGGAAAGTCTGATGATCCCTCACCTGAATTTCCCCGTTGCTGTGTCGTAGTCGTCGTTGATGTTCGTGATCACCTGGGTGAACTTAATGACGCTGTATTTATTCGGTTGATCGTTTGTCCCCCTGGCCACGCTGAAGGCCGCCTGCTGCTGGGTCCGGAGAGTCCTGCAGACACAAAAACAAAACGTGGTGGGACTTTTCCTCCCTTGATTGTTTCCTCGGAATAAACTACAAAGCCTGAATTATTTTATGAAATTAAAGGAAAACAAACATGATTATGAGGTCACAAAAATGTCAAAACTTACAAATAGCTTTCAAATATCAAATATCAGTTTCAATTTTGTCAAATTTGACTACTTTTGTTTGCATTTAGATTCTTTAGATTAGAATATGTATATTCAAAGTTCAAATCCAGATGTTTATCGAATTAAAACATAATATCTATATTCAAAGTTTAGATTAAAGTCCATCCATCCATTATCAATACCGCTTATTCCCTGATGGGGTCGCGGGGGGAACTGGAGCCTATCCCAGTGGTCAACGGGCGAGAGGCAGGGTACACCCTGGACAGTCCACCAGTCCATCGCAGGGCCACACAGAGACACACAAGGACCAACAACCACTCACACTCACATTCACCCCTAAGGGAAATTCCCCCAATCTCCAATCAGCCAAACATGCAGGTTTTTGGACTGTGGGAGGAAGCCGGAGAACCCAGAGAGAACCCACGCAGACACAGGAGAACATGCAGACTCCACCCAGAAAGATCCTGGTTCTCCCGGGATTCGAACCCAGAACCTTCTTGCTGGGAGGCGACAGTGCTAACCACCACACCACCGTGCCGCAGTTTAGATTAAAGTGTTTTTTAAAATCAAAACGTAATATTTATATTAAAAGTTTAGATTCAGATGATTGGCTTTAGATTAAAATATGCATATTCAAAGTTTAAATCTAGATGTTTATCGAATTAAAACATAATATCTATATTCAAAGTTTAGATTAAAGTGTTTTTTTAAATCAAAACGTAATGTTTATATTTAAAGTTTAGATTCAGATGTTTAGATTTCAATATACCCATTTTTAAAATGTAGATTATGATGTTTAGCTGTAAATATAATATTTAAATCCCTAATACCCGGGTTCTCCTGGCTCTCCTGGAGGTCCGGGGACTCCTGGGGTTCCCGGCGACCCGCGTTCCCCCGCCAGCCCTCGTTTACCGGGGAACCCCCCCGGACCCGGCTCCCCCTTTTGGCCTTTTTCATAGCTGTGGCCGCCGGTCCAAACCGGCCCTAAAAGAACGGAGAACAGTGTTGGTTACTTTCCACTTTTGCAGTCGGATTTAGTCTTTCTGGCCTAAAAACACGAACTTTCAACCACAGGAAACGCGTCTTCTCCTGTTTCAGATCCCATCATTAAGTCACTAAGAGGTTCCACTTTTTTTGTAACTTTTTCTTGGTGGATTGAGACTAAACAACAAGGTCTGGTGTTAAATACACAGCACACAGAGTCTAAATGTTGCCCTCAAACTTACCACTGACAAATATGGTAAACTACAGCTCTCCTGATGACTCCAGTTGTTCGGATCTTTTATTTTTGCCTGCACTCATGAACTTTAAACTATATTTGTGAGTTATTGTTTTTTTCTTTTCCTCATTTTAAGAGCATCAACAGGTCCAGGTGGGTGATCTTTGGGCATCTAGTGATTTGAAACCATTGGAGGAATCTGAGGAAAAACTGCTGCTATTTGTCTTATTTCTGATGATCCGTCTGTGTGAGAACAGAAAGGCACTTCTGAGTCGAGATTTTTGAAAACAAAAACTAATTTCTAATGCAAATCTATGTATTTAGATGAGAAAAGATTTCTGCTCTGTCTGTTAATTGAACTTCAAGACGCCTCCCTCCGATTTCTCAAATGAAAAGGCACTTCCTTATTTTTCTCTTTATGTGAAGATGAATTCAGGTAAAACTAGAACCCTTACCCTCTGGAATAGTACAAGAATTGAGTAAACTGCATGAAAAACTAAAAATAACTAAACAGATCTGCCCTTTTTGATGAGCTTTCACTTCTGTTTTTGCAGTTTAAGCAGCAAATAGCCGACTTTCTGTAGCTGAGTGACTGTAAAGGAAACTTTCCAGAGGTAATTTCTGACTGTAACATGGACGTGCACATGTGTCTGTACCTCTATCCGTACCTCTACCCCCCCACAGCTCCTTCTGTAGTCCCTCTACCTCTATCTCTATCTCACCACTGACTCTGATCAGTGTTTCTCCTCTGTATAGCTTATGTCATAGTGATGATAAATGTAATATTGTCTACTCTGTAAGTCGCTTTGGATAAAAGCGTCTGCCAAATGCATAAACATAAACATAAACATAAACATAAACATAAACTCTCATCAGTGTTTCTCCTCTGTATAGCTTATTGTCATAGTGATGATAAATGCAATATTGTGTCTACTCTGTAAGTCGCTTTGGATAAAAGCGTCTGCCAAATGCATAAACATAAACATAAACATAAACATAAACATAAACATAAACATAAACATAAACATAAACATGACACCTGGCTCTCCTTTGTGTCCCTTGGGTCCGTCCCGGCCGTCTCTCCCGGGGAGTCCGGGGATGCCTGCGCAGAAAAACACGGATAAAACGGCCAGTCAAAGGCTGCAGGCGCACGGTTCTAAAGAGGGTCACAGGCAGGTGTTCGCACCTGGAATCCCAGGCATCCCCGTGGACGGACACGTCTCCATGGCAACCAGCAGCGGCGCGGCCAATGAGAGCAGGGCTCCGGTCACAAGGAAACAACGGTGGAGCATGATGGGAAAACCTGGAGAGGGAAAAAGGTGGAAAATAAATGGAAAGATGAAGAGTTAGAGGAGAATGAAGGAGTGGAAAACAGGATGGAAGAAAAGAAGAAAGTAAGAAGATAAGAGAAGGTTGAAAAGAGGAGAGAAGGAGGTAAAGAGGAGAAAGGAAGTAAGTGGTGGATACAAGAAAAAGAAATGAAGGAATGGGAGGAAAATATGTGGAATAAAAGAAGAAAAATAAGAAGTTAAAGCCGAGGGAGGAGAGGAGAGAAGGAGGAAGAGAGGAGAAGGGAAGTAAGTGGTGGATACAAGAAAAAGAAATGGAGGAATGGGAGGAAAATATTTGGAAGAGAATAATAGAGGAAAAGAATATCAAAATGGGAACGATAAAACATGAGATATAGAGGAAAAGCAGGCTCAGTTTTTCCTTAATAAAACAAATATAACTGATATTTTGATGTAAAAAGTCACATTAATTAAAAGTGGCCATTCAGAGGCTTCTCGTTTATACCTAAATAAAAATTCAATAAACGTCTAAAATGTGTAAAACCCACCTGAGAGCTGACAGAGGACTCAAATCCAGTTGAAGCAAACGGAGCAGAAAGTCGTTGTCCGTCTTTGGCCGGACGAGGAAGACGACTCAGAGCCAAAAACGCTCCAAAGAGGCTCTGACTCAGTACGTGCTTCTGCATTTCCTCTCAGAGCTGCAGGGAGGCAGAAAACAGAACTACAGAGAGATGTTGGCCTCTGATGCTGATGTCCAGAAATCAGAGTCACTTCTGTCCAACGACAAGTAAAGACACAGCGTGGAGTTTAAATGCACCTCAGTAGACCCCTTAAGACCCTTAAGATAGCCCTGATTAACCCTATAATGCCATATGTATCATATTTGATACATATGATTTCTGAAAAATTTAGCATCTGAGACCTTTTGCATCATTTTATGGTAAAAACTTGTTGTACACAATCAGATACACCTGGTAACAGCTATGCACACTCATTCTGACTTAGCAGAAGGTAATCAATGACGAATATTCAAAAATAATTTCTGTTTTTTCTCATATATTTATATATATATATATATATATATATATATATATATATATATATATATATATATAATGTGAAGGGTCAAATAAAGACTTCAAACAATAACAAAAATTCTCCCCATTTTTTTATTGGATTGGGCTTTAATGGGTTAAAAGATTGCACTAAATTAGAAAAGAAAGCAGAGCTTAATCGAGTGTTTATACTTTAGTGAGATAGAAATCTGTAAAATTATCGTCACAGTTTTTCATGGTGATTGTGAAATAATTCTGCAAAATACAGCATTTGTCCCCTCAACACATTTATTAATTAATGTACTAGAGGTCCCCTCCTTTCTTCAGTTTTTCTTTTGATTTGCAGAGAAAATATTGATTAAATCAGCCAAAAATAGATGCTAATTATACTTTTTTCCTACATTTTAAAGAGTCAAAGAAATTCCTAAGATAAAAAAGTTTCCATTTTTCATCCACTTTTTCCTCTTTTGGGCTTCGTAGGGTTAAAATCATCTTATTTTTGGGAGTTTTCTCTGCCTTGTGGATATGTTGGGCATTATAAATGTAATAACTGTCCTGGTCTGAGCTTTTTTGTGTATTCTGTCTTCCTTTCTTTGGAGTTTCTGGTCTCTTTGTGGATGTCAAAGCTTTTCTGTGGTGTGATCATCTCTTAGTTAGCCAGTAAAAGGTCAAATCCCTCCCATTTAGGGTGAAATGGAAAACTCCAGAAGTAAGACGGTGAATAACAAAAAACACAGCAAAGAAAGAACGATTTCACATCATAATGTTACCATCATCAGTATTTTGGTGGGCAGGAACAGTGGAGCGAAATGAGGAAGGAACATGTAGGCTTTATGCAATTTTGGATATTTTAGAGTATTTTTCTGTGGGAAAAGATGCATATTTAATGAAATAGCCAGAAATGTACTGACCAAGCAGTTCTGATGGTTTCTTTGTGCATCAACAATTCAGAGTTACACTGTTAAGGATTGGAAAATGTGCTGATTAGGCATGGAAATCCTGATTAAAATGCATTTTATTTGGGGAAAAGGTCCTGCAGCCGTTGTGTTTACAGTTTGTACACAGTGGGTCTGTAATTATTTGGCAATTGTTGGATTTTCTCACGCAAACTGAACGCTATAGGGACGGCCAGTGTTTCTGAGGTTAGGTTTTGACTGCTCACATGTACTGTTATCACTCAGTTTTCATAGATTTGTCATGTGTAATTGAATTGATTATGAATTTGCATGATTTAGTGTGCCTCATCTCAAATGCAGATAAACAGGCCTGAAAAGTACCACTGTGTCTCAGTACAGGACTGTTTTCTTCCTAAAAACACTTTATTTTACATCCAAAATGTTCTCATTTTATCTCGCTCGTCTATTTCTGGATCGTAAACCCAATTCGTGTCACTGTGAGAAGGGTTTTAGGTTTTAGGTTGCAAAGATGTCCGCTCAGATTCCATTTTCGCCTCTTTGATTGCGTGAATGTGGTTTGTTTGAAAGGAGAACCTGCAGCCCTCCCAGCCCCCCGGTGACAGCCGAGTTTAAATGAGGACGTTAACAGAGGTTAACCAAAAAGAAGTGGAACAAGCGCCCAAAAAGTTTCATTTCCCCGTCCTTCCTTCGGATGTGTCACTTCTCTGCATAATGAGGTGATAAAATTAACAGCTGGGACATTCTTTGATTTTCATTTCAGTGCATTTTTGTCCCACATCTGGGACAAAAGTGACCAGTTGGCTGTTTTCCAGCAGTCTCTTTTCAGACGCTCATTAAACATTAGACAATCCTTTACGGAAAAACTAGAGCTGAATGTTGAATATGTGTGTGTATCTGGTTTACTGGGATGAAATTTGGATATCTTTAGGTTAACCTTTTGAGCCTCTTTTGGCAACTTGCTCAAATTGTTGTTGCATTTTAGTTTAATTCATTCAATTCCAAATCGTTATAAAGGTTTTTCTTCTGAGCAAATAACAGAAATCATCCCCAACAAAAGAGGCAATTATGAAACAGTCTTTAAAAGTATCAAAAATAGGACTAAAAAATACAGAAACAACAAATCAGAAAAAAAATAGATTAATTTGATTCCATGTCAAATATCAAACAAAATGTAAAAACTGGAAAAACGTGATTGATTTCTTCGGAAATTCATTCATTTAGTATAAATTATCATTTAACGTTTTTTTTTAGTCATTTGTCGTTCTATCCTCCATAAATGAATTTCCAGTGTCAGCATAAAATATTTCTTAACCTCACCCTATAAAACCACATGGGTCATATTTGATGTGTATGCTTAATAATATTTCTGCCTCAGAGACCTTTTACATAATTTACTAGTTAAAACTTCCCGGTAACAGCGGGCAGAAAACCACAAGACAATAATTTTGACCTATTGTATGGTAATACATGAATAATAGAAAAATATTTATTTATTTTTCATACATTTTAAAAGGGCCAAATAAAGACTTCAAACCAAAAATAAATTAATTCTCTGCATCTTTTATTGGATCTGGCTTTAATAAAGTATTAAATCTGACCACAAGCCCAAGAGCAGATTTTTATTCTTCAAAATTCAGCTTTGTCCAGAAATGACATAAAAACACAGACATTGAAAAAAGTTTTGAGAATGTGGAAGCTAGAACCAAAGAAATGACAGCTGAGATATCCTGGTGAATCAAGGTTAATATTTTTAATCCAGAGTGGACGTTCAGTGACCGTTTACAGGGGTCAGAGGTCACGATATCAGTCCTCTGACACCAAACGTACAGATATTGGGTCCTTTGGGGCGTGGATCTCTGAGCCTGGAGCTGAGCTCTACTCTGGGTTTGAGAAGAGCAGGAACCCGTTGAAGATGACCCTCTTCTCCCGGGTGTCCGATGAGTCCTGGCCCACCTGACCCGCGTTCACAGACTCCAGCCACACCTTCTCCCCCGCGGCCAGCTGCAGCACGGCCCCCCCGGACAGCACCTGAAACCGCAGGAGGGAGGTTACCTCCATCTTTGGTAAGGCAAGGCAAGTTTATCTGTATAGCACATTTCGTGTACAAGACAATTCAAAGTGCTTCGCAGAGAATTTAAAAGCAGAAACAAGAACAAGAAAAGAAAAATAATCAACACAATAAGGACAACATGTTCCTGCTCTGTTGCCGTCATAACTTCCACCATCATCATTAGTATTAATATCATTGCCATTTTTCATCTAGTCTACGTGATGCTGTGTTGGCTGCCTCTCTCTACTCCCTCTCTCTCTCTCTCTCGCCCAACCGGCCGAGGCAGATGGCCGCCCCACCCTGAGCCATGGTTCTGCTCGAGGTTTCTGCCTGTTAAAAGGAAGTTTTTCCTTGCCTGTGTCGCCTAGTGCTTGCTCATGGTGGGAATTGTTGGGTTTCTGTAATCAACTTCAGAGTAGGGTCTGACCTGCTCTGTTTGGAAAGCGCTGTGAGACAACTGTTGTTGTGATGTGGCACTTTATAAATTAAATTGAATTGAATTGAATTGAATTGAATTGAATTGAATTGAACGACAGCAACAACAACAACAACAAAAACTGACGATCGTCAACACAAACACGTATGGGATCCCGTCACACTAAGCAAATACTTTTCCCTCGGCCCCCGGCAACGAGGATTGTTTACTTTTGATCGGCCCCTGGCAACGATCCAATTTCTTTAATCGATCGGTCCCAGACAACGATTTAATTTCTCTTAGGCCCCCGGCAACGAGGATCTCTACTAAACAATGCTTTTGTCACTCACAGATGAAAAGTGAAGGGTGCAGACAAAATACGTTCAATTTCCACAGGCACAGTTAAACAGAAGCGTTTTCAACCTGGATTTAAACACTGTCAGAGCTGAGTTCTGTCTCACATCTTCAGGAAGACCGTTCCAGATTTTAGGAGCATGGAACTGAAATGAAGCTTCACCTTGTTTAGTTCTGACTCTGGGCCCCATCAGGAGACCAGAACCTGGTTTAGTTCTGACTCTGGGCCCCATCAGGAGACCAGAACCTGGTTTTCTCAAAGTCCGAGCTGGTTCGTATGGCTCTATAACATGTCAGAAAGGTATTTCGGTGCTCGACCATGAAAAGACTTGTACACCAGCAGAGCTGTTTTTTAAAGTCTATTCTCTGAGGGACAGGAAGCCAGTGGCGAGACCTGAGCACTGGAGTGATGTGGTCACAAAGTGAAATTAGGCAAATGGCATTTTGCGATATTTATGCAGAAATTATGCAAGAATATAAATTTGAAAAATACTTGTTATGTGAAATATAGGCAGGCCATCTGTAACCTTAGAACAAACAACACTAGAATCCCTAAAGTCACTGGTCGGTATAAATGTTTAGAGAGAAAGTTAAGACTATGTCAACTCTTTCCAGATAACGGTGTTGGAGATGAGTATCATGTTTTGTTTGAGTGTAAAAATGTAGAAATATGCCATTACAGAGAGATGTATTTTCCACAGTATTATGTGAAGAGCCCATCGATGTTTAAAATGGTTTCATTATTTCAGTCCGGAAAAAGGAAAATAATTCGTAAGTTGGGTGCCTTTTTTAAATGGGTCCTCCCATTATATCGATGATGTTATGTTTTTAATGTATAGGCGTTACTTTGTTCTGTTATATTTATTGTTTGTGCTCCAAACCATGTATATGGTACGTTCAACATTTTCTAGTCTGTCGTTGGACATTCAATATTTTATTCTATTATTTATTATTATTTATTTTATTTTATTCTATATTTTTATTTCTACATTGTATGTCCTTTCTTGTTTGTCATATAAGTGTTGTGCACCAAACACCAAAGCAAATTCCTTGTAGGTGAAAAACCTACTTGGCAATAAACCTAATTCTGATTCTGATTCTGATTCTGATGGTCATGAGCACTTAAATAAAAATAATTGAATTGAATCTGAATTTGCACTTGTAGGAAAGCGTTACCAGGCTCTCCTTTCTGTCCCTTTTCTCCGGGCCATCCGTCTCTACCGGGGTCTCCGGGCAGGCCTGCGTGGCCCTCGGCCCCTTTGCAGTTCGTATTTCCTGGTTCTGGTCAGAACTCTAGCAGCAGCATTCTGGATATTTTTATTCGTCACCTGGACCCTCGTGGACGCTCACCTGGTCGTAGAGCCGCGCCCGGTTAAAATCGCAGAACACCAGCGGTCTCCTCAGGGCCTCGCTGCCTATGGCCAGGCACATGCTGACCTGCAAACACACACCGGGGCAGCGCGTGGGTCCTTCTGCATGTTCAGGGGCCCGGCGTGCACGCTGAAGGGGTTCGTTACCTTGGCAACGGAGTGGAAGGTGAAGTAGTAATAGCCAGGTGTGCTGCAGGTAAATTCACCTGTGGCCTGGTCGAAGTTTGGATTGCTGACCACGGTCTCCTGGTACTTCACTTTCTGAAACAACCAGAAACAAACATGGATGAAGTATAGATGAATAGATGTGTAGAAGTATAGATATGTAGAAGTATAGATGTGTGTGTGTGTGTTAGGGATTCAATACAACATACCAGTGCGTTGTGTGTGTGTTTTCTTTTTTTTTTATCATGTCTTCAAGCCCTTCAATTGTTTTTCAGTTTCAGTTTTTGCATCTTATTTTTAGATGATCTAATCCTATCTTATCTCATCTTAGCTTGTCTTTTCCTATCTTATTGTTGTTAATGGAATTATCTTTACATCATCAGTGTGATCGGGTGCTGTTGGTTGGAAAAGCTAAATATTGACATCTATGAAAAGAAATTTGCAGATCCCCATTAGGGAAAATTGTGACACGACTAATGATGCTCAGGACTTTTACCGTACGTTAAATTTGTGCGAAATTGAGAGAGGTGAGACACAGAAGCGTGTGGTGGGCAGTGGCCTGAACCTGGGCAAAGTGAGGGTAGTTGCTGTCGGTCCGGATGGCGGAGAAGGCTGCCAGTGTCTGAGAGCCGGAGGCCGCCCCGGCTGGAATAAACAGAGCAACAGTCAGACCATGAACGCATCACAAAGGGAAAAACACAGCAGGTTCAGGAGGGAAGCCCAGACTTCCTCTCCCCTTCTGTTCTCAGACCGTCATTTAATCCTTTAAAGCCTGATCCAAGAAAAATAGGAAGAATATTGGATTTTTTTATCATGAAGTCTTTCTTTGGTCTCTCAACAACATATGAAGAAAAAAAAAACAGAAATTATTTTGATCAAATTAGCGTGCAATAAGTCAAAAATGTATTTTGGTGTAGTCTTCTACTGGCTGTTATCAGGTATATCTGAATGTGTACAACAGGGGTTTGAGCAAAGCTTTTACCACTGAATGATCCAAAAAGTCTCAGATCCAAAAGACTTCAGAAACCGTATGAATCAGATATGATAGGTATTTGTGGCCAGGTGAAGGGTTCTGGCTCTAGTCCCTGTAAACTCGGGTGAATCTCTATAAACTCTGTCAGATATCTGATTTATTTTGTCAGGATTATTAACTCATTGGCTGCCAAAGACGTCTATAGACGTCAATTCAAATACAACCGTTGACTGCCAAAGACGTCTATAGACGTCTTTTATGTTTTTCAACAAGAGTGGCTTGGGGGACGATCGGCTAAAGTTTTTCCGTAAATATCGGCTTCTAGACAGACTATGTACTAACAAATTGACCCTCTAGGTGGCAGTGCCACTTTTGATGGGAGATGAGCATAGATTGTAGGCAAATAAAAAAAACGTAATGGTTCGCTATGCGAGAAATGGCACCGGTGAGACGCAAGTCGAGGAAGAACGGAATAAGGTAGAAACAAATGTTTTTTCCTGATGAAAGAATAGAGTCTACTCTTTCTTTTGGTTTGTTTGGTGTTTACATAGTCATAGCACAAACTAGTCTGTGGCTCTTGAAAAATCAGTCAAAATGCTCAAAAAACTCTGGCAGTATGGGACTCTGTTCTGAAAATGGCTGCCAGTCAATGAGTTAAGAGACTGAAAGGTTCTGAAAGCTAACCGAGGCTGGTGCTTTTCCCGTCTGGGCCCTTGGGACCCGGAGCTCCGGTCAAACCCGCCACTCCCACCGTCCCGTGGTACCCTTTGGGCCCGGTGGGCCCCTGGGCCCCTTGGCTCCCCATTTCCCCCTTCAGCTTCAGCAGCTGTCTCTGGTCCACCGGACCGTCGGGCTTTTGGGCTGGAAACAAAAACGTCAAAGATTAGACCAACAAGGTACGACGTGGCTGCAAAAATGCTGCAGGACTGAGAGATTCAGGAGGTCCTTTATACCAACGGCCACGGGGCTTTTTAACCCTTTAAAGCCTGATCCAAGAAAAATAGGAAGAATATTGGATTTTTTTAGTCTGAAGTCCTTCTTTGGCCCCTCAACAACATACGAAGAAGAAAAAAAAATGAAATTATTTTGATCAAATTAGCGTGCAATAAGTAAAAAATATATCTTGGTGTAGTCTTCTACTGGCTGTTATCAGGTATATCTGAATGTGTACAACAGGGGTTTGAGCAAAGCTTTTACCACTGAATATTGCAAAAAGTCTCAGATCCAAAAGACTTCAGAAACCGTATGTATCAAATATGATGCATTTGTTATTATAGGGTTAAAAAGCCTTCAAACACTTCTTCCCAGGTGATTATTATCCGGTATTATCATTTGTTTATTCGTTGGTGTGGAGCAGGTTTATTGAAAGAACAGTTTGAATATGAATTTGCATGTGAATTAGGCGTTACCAGGCTCTCCTTTCTGTCCCTTTTCTCCGGGCCACCCGTCTCTCCCGGGGCCTCCGGGCAGGCCTAAGTGGCCCTCGGCCCCTTTGCAGTTCACATCACACCGGACACAGGACAGCAGCAAGGCCACGCCCACCGCCAAAACCAGGCCAGAATAATAACCATCCATGGTCCAAAGGCTGGTGATGACAGTAGGGATAAACACATTAAAAACATCACAACTATGTAGGCTAGTGAAAATATTTGTTCTTTGTATTTAACTATTTTAACACAGATCACATGTTCATATTTTTCTGTGGATTTTCTATGAACTTACTTTATTCTGATTAATGTACGTTTAAGAGAAATTCATAAATTACATTATTAGATTATGTTTTTTCTACCTCAAAAAGAAAAAGATTTAAGCTCAAAACCCAGCCCAGAAATATTTGCATCAAACTTTTGCGAGCAGGTCTATAATCATCAAATTATTCAACTCTGAACTGGTTGTTCCAACAGACATTTGGTAGTTTCTTCCATAAATTAATTTATTTTACAAACAACTGCGAATGGGCTGCAGATAAACTGGGAAAATAATCTGCAACACTCTGCTTTTGTTATTCTACAAACCAATAGGATAAAAAATGAAAGTTCTCGGTCATTACGATAACGTGGAAATAAATGAAGCGAGACGGTCCTACTCACCACTGGAGTCTCTTGAGGTGTGGACTAGAAATGAAAGCACAGGATTTCCTTCTCACTAGACTGGACAAGACTTGCTGACTTAATCAGATGCGCACACAGTACAGAATTAGAAAGGAAATGAAACCCGTGGTCTGATGGGAAGAATATTAGTTTATTCCACACATCTGTCCGTAACTCCTCCCTTACAAATATCCAGAGACTGACACTGAAACAGTTTAATTATTGTATTTGATCAATTTGACTGTTTTTACCTTTAAAATAATCCTTTATTATCTACTGTGAGGTCCTTGAAATTTTAAATTAAGTTTATTATCTTGGTTGATTTTACTGCTAGTTTGGATAAATCTGCTCTAAAATCTCTATTTGTGGACTGGTTTTTGGTACGTTCAACCATTTAGAGAATTTCATGTTACTTTTCACAGTTTAACTAGTTTAGCATGAGTTGAAACTGATGGCCCAACTTTATTGCTTTAAAATAAGAGAAACACACAAAACATAAAAATCCAACTTTTAATGCATTTGTTGCTTAAATAAGAGCAGCAATGAAAATAAAAACAGTTAAAGGCACCATGGTTAAATCTCACAGCAAAAACGGAAATTTAGGACATTTCATATTTCAGAGAACATCTGTCAAAAAAACAGTCTTGCTGGCCTCATGTGGTCAACGACTGTAATAAAACATACACCACAACATCCCATTATTAACAAACCCAATGGCCATAAAACAGAGAATATTTGCAAGCTTGGACCATGAAACGAGCTGAAGTGGAACACATTTTGTCCAGTTTAGGGGTAACACAACATAAAAAGTGACCAAACCTCCTTTATGCTAGTTTCTTAGAAACATGTGAAGCTCCACACACCAAAACACACCAAACCGATCCATAAAAAAAAAAAACAAGACGGTATTTAACCCCAACACAAACAGTAAAGAAAAGACAAACTCTTACCGTCCCAGGCTAAATAAACAGGAGAAAACGACCAGCTAACGAGCATCTCTGCATCTGTGAACATTCATAAGAATAAAGTTTTATTTTTATGTGATGATAACGTTAATCCAGGAACTGCCAAACGGCCTCCTAAACCAACACTGAGCAGAAAGGCACAGACAGGCCGACATTTCCACCAACCATACCAACAAAAAGCTGCTAATCTCAACTGCTAGAGGATGTTTTGGTGAAGGAGAAGCATATCACTTGGTAGGAGTGACTTATTTTTGTTAAGAACGTCAACAAAACGTCAAAATGGATCAAATTTGACATCTATAATGAGCCAAATCCATATTATGTGTACATAGATTGATCTGAAATAGCTATTTATTCACTCTTCTACTGTGACAGACACCTTTTTTGGTAATATCTTCAGCTGCTCTGCCTTTTTATTGCTAAAGTAAGAAAACAGCTTCTCTGTGAAATTGTGGGTGAAAGTGTGTATCAGTGAGGCGGAATCTGCATCAAAGAAAGACAGTTTTCCTTTCTCGTATTCCAGTTAGTTAGTTACCTCTAAGATTAACAAGCCGGATCGTAAATTCATGTTGATGACATTGGAATGTGGTACCAAATGATGTGTGTGTGTGTTTGTGTTGACTTAAAGACGTGGATCTAATGCAACAGAGAAAGAAAAAGAAAGAGAGAGCAAGGAGAATCTGTGGTTACAGCCAGAGACTTCAACACAAAATATGGTTATAAAAGAAAATACGACAATCAGTAATCTACATAGATCATGTGATAGCATACTATGCTAAAATGAATATTTTTAGCCAAATCCTAACTTAGCTTTGTCTTCAACTCAATTGTTTCTTTTTACAATCAACTCAGTGCAATATTCATTGATGTTTCTTTTGTAATAACTCTGTGCATTAATATGTATATATATGCTTCTTACCCTGTATATATCTAGCTCTTAGTTATAGAAAACATATTTGTTAAGTAGGAATAAGGTCTTAGCTCTGTCACACTGGTAGCCAAGTAATCGACATTTCGTTGTCAAGATTCACCTTGTGTTTTTTGTACAATGACCATAAAGGAAGTCCGGTTCTGATTACTGATTGTTTTATTTCCTCATAGAACTATATTTTGTGTTCAAGTCTCTGGCTGTGTCCACAAACTCTTCTTTTCTCTCTTTTTCTTTCTCTGTTGCATTAGATCCACCTTTAGGTCAACACGAACACACACCATTTGTTACCACATTCCTGTCATCTGCATGAATTAGGACCTGGCCTGTTCATGCCCAGAGGTAACTGGCCAATGGGACTTGGTTGTGTCCAGTCCAATGCCCATCACACCCAGATCTCAGGGCTCTTTGCCCACTGAGACCCAGAGAGAGGTTTTTTTTGTCTGTTAGATCCCAGCTGATACACTTAACTGTGTCCAATAAATGTTATTTTTTATACTTTTGGTCTACTCTGGTATATTCTCAGGTTTCCAACTAAAGAATCGGGTTAACAGAGGGGACACTCGTTGATGCTCTTCTCCAGTCACTCCAGCTTTTGATTCGGCCACAGAGAAAAAACCCGGGAGTAAATACCTCAGAGTTTTTGGCACCTTTGGGGAGGTTCGTTTGACCCGTTTCGGTTTCACTTTAAAGGGCGCCGAACGGAGTCTGAGTGACTCATCGTGTCAACACGTCTCTAATGGGAAGAGCAAAAGAAAACAACACAAGTTTCATCATGCAGGCCGTTTGTGTCCCGGCACACGGAAAGTTACATACCAAACATTTGTGAGGTGGGATGGGGAGGAAATTAATTAGAGCGTGACACTAAAAAAAAACATGACGTTTTATAGATAGATAGATGTGTGTTGGATACTTTTGGACGAGGCAGACTTCTTTTCTCTTTTGGAATTAAATGCTTAAAGGACTTTCTCAGCCATTAAAGGTTGTTGGAGCATGAGCAGAACAGTTTAAATACCTCTTAGGTTTTATGGTTTTCTTAGTTCATAAGATAGAAAAAAGATAAATATATATTGATAATGGAAAGAAAATGGTGCTTTAAACTATGATGAGAAAACTAGATAGATAGATAGATAGATAGATAGATAGATAGATAGATAGATAG